CTATCTATCTATCTATCTATCTATCTATCTATCTATCTAACCATCCATCCATCCATCCATCCATCCATCTCTCTATTCATCCATTTATCTAAGCATCCATCTCTGTATCCATCCATCTATCTATCCGTCCATCTGACAAATAACAGGTGTTTTTTTTAAAGAGACTCAATTGAGAAATCAACATCTTCCAAAAAACAACATAAAATAAAAATAGAAAAATATAATAACACTATATACAAAAACAAATATGACAACACAATATAATAACAAAACATATAATAATAACAACAATAAGTTGGCGGTTCATCCCGCTGTGGCAAATCCTGATTAATAAAGGGACTAAGCCCAAAAAAACGAATGAATGAATGAGTAATAATAATAATAACTAAACATTGAAAAATACAACAAATTAAAATAAATTAATAAAATGTATAAAATAAACCAAAGAAATAAAATAAAAGTAACAGTAATTAGATACAATTAAATTAAATATAAAATAAAGAGTCAGTCACCCGCAGGTGTTCAGTGTAGTTGCAGAGCTCTCTGCAGATGCGTCGCTCCTCGTCTGCGTTCTGCATCTGCAAAACTCTGCAGCTCTTCTGCACCGACACGATCCACTGCTCGTACTTCTGAGAGCCGTACTCACGATTCGATATGTTCGACAGACTCTCTGAAATACAGGACAGATGTGAGTGAGTGTCTATGTGAGTGTGTGTGTGTGTGTGTGTGTGTGTGTGTGTGTGTGTGTGTGTGTGTGTGTGTGTGTTTGTGTGCGTGCGTGTCTGTGTGTACCGATGTTGTAGGTTTTCTTTGCCATCTGCTCAATGTTACTCATGATGTTCTGGATGATTCTGATGAAGGGATCTGACGGCGACTGAAACACATGGAAAAATTCTGACACACACACACACAATACACAGACATACACACAGATGCACGCATACACACACAAACCCACACATATTGTTACACTGCATTGTAACAAGTTACTATTATATTGACAACTCAGTTACTAACAGTTACTATTGGTAAAAAGTAACTAATAACTATAGCAGATTACCTTTTAAAAGGTTTTGAGAGACATTTTTTTCTTTACTTTTTAAAAGAAACATTAGTTTCTAAAGCAAACTACTTTTTAATGAGTTTGACTATTTTTTTTAAAGTAACAGCAGGTAATTAGTTACTTTTTTTGTAATGATATAACTATTGATGAGAAGTAACTAGTAACTTTAATTAGTTACTTTTAAAATGTTTTGACTTTTTTAAATAACAGCAGTTACTTTCCCTGGTAATTAGTTACTTAGTTAGGGTAATTAGTTTGTTGCTTGGTAATTAGTAACAATGATGTAACTCAGTTACCTACAGTTACTATGTGCAAAAAGTAACTAGTAACTATAACTGATTACTTTTTCTAAAGGGTTTTCACTTTTTTCTTTCTAAAAGTAACATTAGTTACCTGCCCTGGTAATTAGTTACTGTAATAATGACATAACTCAGTTACTAAGTGGTTACTATTGGTAAGAAGTAACTAGTAACTATATCAGATTACTTTTTAAAGGGTTTTGGGTGACTTTTTTCTCTTTAAAAGTAACATTAATTACTTTTATAATGATGTAACTTAGTTAATAACCGTTACTATTTGTAAAAAGTAACTATAGCTAATTACTTTTTAAAGGTTTTTCACATTTTACTTTTTAAAAGTCATGATAGTTCCTTTCCTTGGTATAAAGTTACTTTAATAATGATATATCTCATTTACTAACAATAACTAAGTGTGAAAAGTATAAAAAGTAACTATAACAGGAACAGCAGTTACTTTCTCTGGTAATAAGTTACTTTAATAGAGATAGAACTCTGTTACTAACAGTTACTATTAGTAAGAAGTAACTAGTAACTATAACTACCTTTTGAGTTTTGAGTGACGTTTTTTTCTTTTAAAGAAACATTAGTTACTTTCCCTGGTAATTAGTTACTTTTATAATGGTTTAACTATTTTACTAAAAATTACTATGTGTGAAAAGTAACTAAAGCAAACTACTTTTTAAAGAGTTTGACATTTTTCTTTATAAAAGTAACAAGAGTTACTTTCTCTGGCAATTAGTTACTTTTGTAATGATATACCTCATTTACTGTTGGCGATAAGTAACTAGTAACTTTAACGAGTTACTTTTAAAATGTTTTGACTTTTTTTAAAGTAACAGCAGTTACGTTCTCTGTTAATTAGTTACTTAAGTAATTAGTTAGTTCCTTGGTAATAATTAGTAACAATGATGTAACTGAGTTACTTTCAGTTACTATGTCCGAAAAAGTAGCTAGTAACTGTAACTGATTACTTTTTCTAAAGGGTTTTGACATTTTTCTTTCTAAAAGTAACATTACTTACTTGCCCTGGTAACTAGTTACTTTTAGAATGATGTAACTCAGTTACTAACAGCTACTATTGGTGAGAAGTAACTAGTAGCTATAGGGCCAGACGGAATCTGCGGACGTTTTTTGCTATTTCTGCGGAGAATTTTGGTAAAAATCTGCGGATTTCTGCGGAATTATTTTGGTAGTATCCAGCGGAGTATCATAACTAAAACCTTAATATATTAAATAAAAAGTAATAAATTACTGAATAAAAACTGAATAAATTCATATTTACACATTTACTCAGGTAAATAAATAGAATAAATATTGGGTTAAAAATCTCCAGAAATCAGCGGAATTCTGCGGAAAATCTGCGGAATTCTGCGCGCGCAGATTTGGTATGGGCCAAGCTATAACTTATTACTTTTTAAAGGGTTTAAACTTTTTTCTCTCTAAAAGTAAAAGTTATTGCACACCAAATCCAAAATTTTGGCAAGTTAAAAAATAATTTTGACCTTTGACATAGGCTCCCTTATGTATTGTTTTTCAAATTATTTCGGACATTACATCGCACTCAGTGTGCAGAGGTTTGTGTGCGTAATGAATTTTTTGGACTTAAATACGAAACCCCCTTCTGAAAATGTCAGATTCTGTATGCAAAGACCTTCACAGTAGTAACCTTCCCTGGTAATTTGTTACATTCATAATGGTATAACTCCAATTACCAGCATTTACTACGCGTGAAAAGTAGTATAGTAGATTGTGGGTGAAAAGTGATGGACGAATGTGGTGAATTAAGTTGTTCACTTTCGATGCCCCTACAAAATGGCAGACGTACATTATAGTCTCCTAGATAGTGTGTAGGGAGTGTTTTGAGTGTGTGATATTGTCTACAGATACTGACCTTTCTCAGGCGTGTGCACGTATGACCTGAGCTCGTCCAGGTGTTTGCTAACAGTGGTAATGACTCTGGTGTCCATGTTTGCACACAGCTGTGTAACATTGTTCTCCGCCTCCATCTGGTTTTTGAAGGAACCGATGCCAACCGATGCTGTCAGGCCCACAATCTGAAACGACACGCGGGAAGCAGAAGCATAGTGCAGTGAAGCAGAGTACAGTAGGATGAGGCTGAATTCTGGTATTCCCTCAAACTAATTATAATATAGAGTTAGTGTACAATGTAATAGAGTTAGAGTCCAATACAGTTAGTTTAGAGGTAATAGAGTTAGTTTAGAGTGTAATAGAGTTAGCGTTGAGTGTAATAGAGTTAGTTTAGAGTGTAATAGAGTTAGCGTAGAGTGTAATAGAGTTAGTTTAGAGTGTAATAGAGTTAGTTTAGAGTGTAATAGAGTTAGTTTAGAGTGTAATAGAGTTAGTTTAGAGTGTAATACAGTTAGTACAGAGTGTAATAGAGTTAGTTTAGAGTGTAATACAGTTAGTTTAGAGTGTAATAGAGTTAGTTTAGAGTGTAATAGAGTTAGCGTAGAGTGTAATAGAGTTAGTTTAGAGTGTAATAGAGTTAGTTTAGAGTGTAATACAGTTAGTTTAGAGTGTAATAGAGTTAGTTTAGAGTGTAATAGAGTTAGCGTAGAGTGTAATAGAGTTAGTTTAGAGTGTAATAGAGTTAGTTTAGAGTGTAATACAGTTAGTTTAGAGTGTAATAGAGTTAGTTTAGAGTGTAATAGAGTTAGCGTAGAGTGTAATAGAGTTAGTTTAGAGTGTAATAGAGATAGTTTAGAGTGTAATAGAGTTAGTTTAGAGTGTAATAGAGTTAGTTTAGAGTGTAATAGAGTTAGTGTAGAGTGTAATAGAGTTAGCGTTGAGTGTAATAGAGTTAGTTTAGAGTGTAATAGAGTTAGTTTAGAGTGTAATAGAGTTAGTGTAGAGTGTAATAGAGTTAGTGTAGAGTGTAATAGAGTTAGTTTAGAGTGTAATAGAGTTAGTTTAGAGTGTAATAGAGTTAGTGTAGAGTGTAATAGAGTTAGTTTAGAGTGTAATAGAGTTAGTTTAGAGTGTAATAGAGTTAGTTTAGAGTGTAATAGAGTTAGTGTAGAGTGTAATAGAGTTAGTTTAGAGTGTAATAGAGTTAGTTTAGAGTGTAATAGAGTTAGTGTAGAGTGTAATAGAGTTAGTTTAGAGTGTAATAGAGTTAGTTTAGAGTGTAACAGAGTTAGTTTAGAGTGTAATAGAGTTAGTGTAGAGTGTAATAGAGTTAGTTTAGAGTGTAATAGAGTTAGTTTAGAGTGTAATACAGTTAGTTTAGAGTGTAATAGAGTTAGCGTAGAGTGTAATAGAGTTAGCGTAGAGTGTAATAGAGTTAGTTTAGAGTGTAATAGAGTTAGCGTTGAGTGTAATAGAGTTAGTTTAGAGTGTAATAGAGTTAGCGTAGAGTGTAATAGAGTTAGTTTAGAGTGTAATAGAGTTAGTTTAGAGTGTAATAGAGTTAGTTTAGAGTGTAATAGAGTTAGTGTAGAGTGTAATAGAGTTAGTTTAGAGTGTAATAGAGTTAGTTTAGAGTGTAATAGAGTTAGTTTAGAGTGTAATAGAGTTAGTGTAGAGTGTAATAGAGTTAGTTTAGAGTGTAATAGAGTTAGTTTAGAGTGTAATACAGTTAGTTTAGAGTGTAATAGAGTTAGCGTAGAGTGTAATAGAGTTAGCGTAGAGTGTAATAGAGTTAGTTTAGAGTGTAATAGAGTTAGCGTAGAGTGTAATAGAGTTAGTTTAGAGTGTAATAGAGATAGTTTAGAGTGTAATAGAGTTAGTTTAGAGTGTAATAGAGTTAGTTTAGAGTGTAATAGAGTTAGTGTAGAGTGTAATAGAGTTAGCGTTGAGTGTAATAGAGTTAGTTTAGAGTGTAATAGAGTTAGTTTAGAGTGTAATAGAGTTAGTGTAGAGTGTAATAGAGTTAGTGTAGAGTGTAATAGAGTTAGTTTAGAGTGTAATAGAGTTAGTTTAGAGTGTAATAGAGTTAGTGTAGAGTGTAATAGAGTTAGTTTAGAGTGTAATAGAGTTAGTTTAGAGTGTAATAGAGTTAGTTTAGAGTGTAATAGAGTTAGTTTAGAGTGTAATAGAGTTAGTTTAGAGTGTAATAGAGTTAGTTTAGAGTGTAATAGAGTTAGTTTAGAGTGTAATAGAGTTAGTTTAGAGTGTAATAGAGTTAGTGTAGAGTGTAATAGAGTTAGTTTAGAGTGTAATAGAGTTAGTTTAGAGTGTAATATAGAGTTAGTGTAGAGTGTAATAGAGTTAGTTTAGAGTGTAATAGAGTTAGTTTAGAGTGTAACAGAGTTAGTTTAGAGTGTAATAGAGTTAGTGTAGAGTGTAATAGAGTTAGTTTAGAGTGTAATAGAGTTAGTTTAGAGTGTAATACAGTTAGTTTAGAGTGTAATAGAGTTAGCGTAGAGTGTAATAGAGTTAGCGTAGAGTGTAATAGAGTTAGTTTAGAGTGTAATAGAGTTAGCGTTGAGTGTAATAGAGTTAGTTTAGAGTGTAATAGAGTTAGCGTAGAGTGTAATAGAGTTAGTTTAGAGTGTAATAGAGTTAGTTTAGAGTGTAATAGAGTTAGTTTAGAGTGTAATAGAGTTAGTGTAGAGTGTAATAGAGTTAGTTTAGAGTGTAATAGAGTTAGTTTAGAGTGTAATAGAGTTAGTTTAGAGTGTAATAGAGTTAGTTTAGAGTGTAATAGAGTTAGTTTAGAGTGTAATAGAGTTAGTGTAGAGTGTAATACAGTTAGTTTAGAGTGTAATAGAGTTAGTTTAGAGTGTAATAGAGTTAGTTTAGAGTGTAATAGAGTTAGCGTTGAGTGTAATAGAGTTAGTTTAGAGTGTAATAGAGTTAGTTTAGAGTGTAATAGAGTTAGTGTAGAGTGTAATAGAGTTAGTGTAGAGTGTAATAGAGTTAGTTTAGAGTGTAATAGAGTTAGTTTAGAGTGTAATAGAGTTAGTGTAGAGTGTAATAGAGTTAGTTTAGAGTGTAATAGAGTTAGTTTAGAGTGTAATAGAGTTAGTTTAGAGTGTAATAGAGTTAGTTTAGAGTGTAATAGAGTTAGTTTAGAGTGTAATAGAGTTAGTTTAGAGTGTAATAGAGTTAGCGTTGAGTGTAATAGAGTTAGTTTAGAGTGTAATAGAGTTAGTTTAGAGTGTAATAGAGTTAGTTTAGAGTGTAATAGAGTTAGTTTAGAGTGTAATAGAGTTAGTGTAGAGTGTAATAGAGTTAGTTTAGAGTGTAATAGAGTTAGTTTAGAGTGTAATAGAGTTAGTGTAGAGTGTAATAGAGTTAGTTTAGAGTGTAATAGAGTTAGTTTAGAGTGTAACAGAGTTAGTTTAGAGTGTAATAGAGTTAGTGTAGAGTGTAATAGAGTTAGTGTAGAGTGTAATAGAGTTAGTTTAGAGTGTAAAAGAGTTAGTTTAGAGTGTAAAAGAGTTAGTGTAGAGTGTAAGAGTTAGCGTAGAGTGTAAAAGAGTTAGTGTAGTGTTATAGAGTTCGTTTAGAGAGTAAAAGAGTTAGTTTAAAGAGTAAAAGAGTTAGTACAGAGTGTAATAGAGTTAGTTTAGAGTGTAACAGAGTTAGTATAGAGTGTAAAAGAGTTAGTGTAGAGTGTAAAAGAGTTAGTGTAGAGTGTAAGAGTTAGCGTAGAGTGTAAAAGAGTTAGTGTAGTGTTATAGAGTTCGTTTAGAGAGTAAAAGAGTTAGTTTAAAGAGTAAAAGAGTTAGTACAGAGTGTAATAGAGTTAGTTTAGAGTGTAACAGAGTTAGTATAGAGTGTAAAAGAGTTAGTGTAGAGTGTAAAAGAGTTAGTGTAGAGTGTAAGAGTTAGCGTAGAGTGTAAAAGAGTTAGTGTAGTGTTATAGAGTTCGTTTAGAGAGTAAAAGAGTTAGTGTAGTGTTATAGAGTTCGTTTAGAGAGTAAAAGAGTTAGTTTAAAGAGTAAAAGAGTTAGTACAGAGTGTAATAGAGTTAGTTTAGAGTGTAACAGAGTTAGTATAGAGTGTAAAAGAGTTAGCGTAGAGTGTAAAAGAGTTAGTGTAGAGTGTAAGAGTTAGCGTAGAGTGTAAAAGAGTTAGTGTAGAATGTAAGAGTTAGCGTAGAGTGTAAAAGAGTTAGTGTAGTGTTATAGAGTTCGTTTAGAGAGTAAAAGAGTTAGTTTAGAGTGTAACAGAGTTAGTATAGAGTGTAAAAGAGTTAGTGTAGAGTGTAAAAGAATTAGTGTAGAGTGTTATAGAGTTCGTTTAGAGTGTAAAAGAGTTAGTTTAGAGTGAACAGAGTTAGTTTAGAGTGTAATAGAGTTAGTATAGTGTAAGAGTTAGTGTTGAGTGTAAAATAGTTGTGTAGAGTGCAATAGTTAGTTTTGGGTGTAATAGAGTTAGTTTAGAGTATAAAATAGGTAATTTAGAGTGTAATAGAGTTAGTATAGAGTGTAACAGAGATAGTTTAGAGTGTAATAGAGTTATTTTAGAGTGTAATAGAGTTAGTATAGAGTGTAAGAGTTAGTTTAGAGTGTAAAATAGGTCATTTAGAGTGTAATAGAGTTAGTTTTGAGTGTAATAGAGTTAATTTAGAGTTTAATAGAGTTAATTTAGAGTGTAAAAGAGTTAGTTTAGAGTTTAATTTAATAATTTGGGTTTAGGTATTAATAAGTCTGCAGTGAATAGCATGAACTGTGACTTAAACTAAAATGTTACTAAAAAGAAGAGTATTTCCCTAAACAAGCTGAATAGTGTTGCTGTTGTTTTGACCTGTAGGAGCGCAGATGATGGTGTTCTGTCCGTTGACGGCTGCAGTCATCAGCTCTCTCTGATATTCCCTCAGCTTACGCTCACCTGAACGCCCAGAGTCACCTGACCACACACACAGGTCACAGAGAGTTCAATGCACACATTCATGAACACAAAACACACACACACACACACACACACAACACAATGTACAGACATGCACTCACAAACAAACATGCATGTATGTAGCGCACTTGTGCATTACCTGTAACTCCAGCAGGTGTCTCAGTGATGCTCATGTGGCTGCAGCTCTCCGGCGCCGACATGTTTTCTGTCTCCATCTCCTCTCGGTACTCAAAGCACACGGTGGAGGATTCAGCCATCATGCAGTCTGAGTCCTGCACTGACTTTCCTGCTCCATCTGTAACACACACACACACACACACACACACACACACACACACCATCACATACTACCACAAACATCTGTCCATCTCATTAGCATAAACAGCAGCCCTGAGTGAGAAGCAGCCGTCTGTCCATTAGAGTGTTTGAAATAATGTCAGCATAGACTAAGAGGATTATAGATGTGGAGTTTTAGATGAAGCACAAATAAAACTTTGTTCACACTTATCAGAGATGCATTTTACATCTTGTAAAAGGGGTTATAATAGGACTCTTTTATCAGTCAGTATAACACAAGTCTGCAGGATGAGAATGGAGGGATGTAAACAGAGAATGATGAAGGATTACTTGTCTCCAGCAGGTCGAGAGCCTCATATAATTCGCAGGTGTCCAGAGCCATCTTCAGCACCTTAAACCAGTTTGATTTATCTGAGCGCAGGAGACAGTCCACAAGCTTCTCACTGGCGGTGATCGGTCCACGCTGCGCTTCCACCTGCATCACACACACAAGTACAGGTGTGAAGATGTAAACACACATTACAGTCAATGTCTGTCTTTCAACACGGGCTCATTCTAAGAAAA